AGTTTTCAGCCAGTCCAGATAGAAAGGGCAGCGTATCTTGCTTGTTCCACCACCACAGTGTGGCGCTATCCCTGCAGGGGATGGAGGGCAAGCTTTTACAGAGCTGGATTTCCTGATCTACCCTCTGGGCTAAGGAAAGACGGGGCTTTGATTCACAAAGTGACCGCAGCTCGTTGTCTTCCTCCTCGAATAGTTCTTCCAACTTGCGTAACTTGCGTAACTTACGTAAAAAACGTGACGTAAGTCGTGTTCCCCAGAGCCGGCGCTCTAGGCTCTGGTGCTGTGGGAATCGAAAAAAGAATCGTTCAGCGAGCTGCCAAACGATGCCATGGAATCGGAAAATACGGAACCGGTTCTTAACAGGAACCGGTTTTCGATTCCCATCCCTACCCACATATAACAGCTTTTTATTTTTATCTTGTATTTATTTATTTTTAGGATCATTATATGGGGTTATTGCTCAGGGTGTGTGCACAGGTATCTATATGGATGGATATTTATATTTATATAGTTAATAGTGGTGTAACGGTTTACAAAATCCACGGTTCGGTTCGGTTCACGGTTTCTGGTCACGGTTTTCGGTTCGGTTCGGTATATGTTGATTGTTACCTCGAAATCCCATAATAATTAATGAAAAAATCCAAAAGAATTAATGAATAGTAATTATTTTTAATGATCCGCGGAAACCATGGATCATTTCCGCATGTTTTGCTGCTTTGAATTTAATCATCTGGCTCATGCCCTCTACGATCTCCAAGGGACTCAGAGCGGAGCGGACGGGAGCCACAGTGGAGGCTGTAGGCTTTGCTTTGTGCAGGCGGTCTGGAGCGCAGAGGGGCGGAGCGGAGTGCTGGCGGAGTATTTGGGATTTCGGGGTTAGCCTGACATGTTGGTCGTGTTGCTGTTAAATGTGTTGCACAATGCTTGCACACTGTTTTTATCCACAACTTTCTTTCCGCCGTCATCGTAGGTCACTCTAAATGCAAAGTGGTCCCATACAGCAGACCTATAAAGTGCTGCTGGCACGTCTTCCAACTCCTGTTCTTCCCCACTCGCCATACCCACACAATTCTCCACAACAACTGATTTTTTTTTTTGCTACACCCGGCTACGCTGCTTCGCTTCTTCTTCTTCTTGTTTACTACTGGTGGTTGGCTTTGGTCGCAGTACCACCACCTTCTGCTCTGGAGTGTACATGGTTCGTCTATGAGAAAAAGGAGCCGTGCATTAACCGAACGCAACACACACGAGTCGAACCGAGACAGTTGAACAGAACGGTTCTGACGGTTTTCATAAACCGTTCCATCCCTAATAGTTAAAGAAATAGTACACCCAAAACATGATAAGCCTTCATTTTCTACTCACCCCCATGCTGAACAACACTCTGGAGTACTTTTTTGATATCTCAAATGCATCTGGAGATCTGGCAGGCCTCTTGCTGTCTGCTGACATTCAAATAATGAAGGTCTATGGCGCCCGAGGCAGAAAGGTCCATAAAAGTCCACAAAAAACGTGTCAATATTCCTCCATATTGCTCGTCCAATGTATTCCAAGTGTCCTGAGTGGGTAGCATCCAGAATTTACTCGAAACAAAGTCATTTAGAATGTTTTTAGAGCATAAACAATAGTGTATAGGATTTCCTAAAAGCGTGTTCACGAGTCTATGGAAACCGCGGCAGACCAAACCAGACGAAAGTGCGCATTCTGTTTGGGTGTCAAACAGAGGAACAGTTAACTAAATGCCGTGCACACTCTTTTCAGACATTAGTAATTTAATTATAGAGATGTTCTTAAGGGTTTCAAAGGTTGACTTTGCTGATGAAGATTCTCTGTCATCCAGGTCATAGTCATTCCGTAAAAGTAAAAAAAAATCCACTGGACTTGGTTTCCAAGATTTGAAGACGTTTCGCCACCTCTCCAGGAAGCTTTCTCAATTCAAATGTCTGGATCCGCAGTGAGTTTGAGTCTTTATATAGACAAGGCGTTGTATTGCTTGGAAACATGCAAATGGTAACTGATGAATGGGTCGTTTGTTTCCATTGTTGCCCTGTAATATCTGAAACCTGTTTATGATTGTTAAGAGTCGGTCGTTAAGGAGGTATTGTTCACCGGCTGGAGCGGGGAGGTACTTAGTTCCTCTGTGATGGGGTGGGGGGTGTGGTGATATCTGGAAGGAATCTCTCTCTATAGCTGAATTGTAAGTTTTTGGAAGCTGGAATCTGAGTCCCCCACCTCTATTAAAAGCAGTTTTTTCTCTCTTTAAGAGAGAAGGAAGCCATCTATGTTAAGAGAGAAAAACGAACTTGGAAACCCAAGTCAAGTGGATTTTTTTAACTTTTACGGAAAGGTTGACTTTATAACTGTTTAGATGTCTGATGGTTTAGGTTTGAGTTTTTCTCTATACACAGATTTTGGGCCTAATCAGTAGTTGGTAGCTGTAATAACTGAACCTTTGTGCCGACTCTTCATGGCTCCTCCCTTGGTTCGAAAATAATTAATTCAGTGATGTTTTTATTTAGCTGAAGCAAATTATTGAACATTCCAATTTCTTTTTTGTATCTGTTCTAATAAGATTAAACAGTCGTGGATCAGCACTTCTATGTTCTCCTCTTGTATCCCCAGTGGAGATGCTCTCCAGTGTCACTACATGCAGGCTCTGTGTGGGGAATTGCTGTAAAGTCCCCAACACAATGTAAACAATTTTCTAATATCGCCACATGCTTATCCAAGAGGAATGAATCCGGCACATGGTTAGGCACATAGAAAACTTTAAACCAATCTGTGGGTATGGTTTGATGGAATTTAATTTATAAAATGCCTTAAGAGGACTTTGGTTTTAAATGGCTTTAGATTAATAAACCAAACTAATTACTCAATGGTTGAAGGATATGTCACCTGGTGGAATTGTGGTGTAGAGTTGTGTGTCATCTGCATATTCATGGTAACTTTTTGTTTGTTATACTCTGAGCTAATGGGAGCATTTAGAGCATTTAATGAAAATGTCACGTGTTGCCTGGTGCTGACGCTCCGGACGGCTTTACTATATTACGAGAAGAAGTGGCGCAAGTGACGTTAGACACTATCGTCAGACAACACGCAGTAATTTATAAATGTTTTAATTCAGGTCGGGTCCGGATTAGACAGCAGCTGGATCCGGATCCGGACCGTGGTCCGCTAATCCGTGACCTCTGGCCTAGTGGGTTAGAACAGTGAGGTTGTCTTCTGAGAAGGTTGCAAGTAACCTGTTCAATCCCCACAGCATCCATTTTGGGTTCCTGAGCAAAACCCTCGCTGCTCCCCGGTTGCAAGTCAATGGCAGCCCACTGCTCCCCAAGAGGATGGGTCAAAATGCCGAGAGTGAATTTTCCCTAACCTTACTCCGCCAGATGGATTTGCTCAGCATATCCGTCTGGAAACCTTCCGTTGAAGGAAATTTGGGAAGGGGCGAAAATACTGGTTAGCTGATTGGACTATGTTGGTGATAGACGGGCCAAATAAACCAATCAGATCAACAAAGCATATGACGTACTAACAGAGCGACGACGAAAACACAACCACAAGCCAGGCACAAGCCAATTGACAGATCAAACTCTTGCCGAAACCAGTCGGGAGAAGGGCAAAAACATCTTTTCCTCTGAGAAAAGCCTCCAGAGCAGTGTTTTGCTCTTCTTCAGTGAAGAAATACTCTGTAATTCCGATAAAACTTGCTCGATAGCCACGCTAACGCTAGTTTCATCGGCTGAAGCCGCCATGTTCTTTAGACTGAACTGTCGCGCTTCTCGTTGCGTCACACCTCAACCCCCCTCAAAGCCAACGCTGATTGGACGTTTGTTTGGTGAACGGGTCCAAATTTTCTTTAACGGAGAGTCTCCAGACTGATTAGCGAGTGAAACCTTGAAAGCTCGCGAGATCAGGATGGTCTCACCAGGCTAAATTTTCACCACTGTGGGACAACAAAGGGATTTACATTTTTACTTATATGAAACATATTACATTAGGCAACTGAATTCGGTTTGTTTAGAATTATAATAATAGGAAAGTAATCCTAATGAAGCTACATTTTAGGTCGTAAAAAGAAAATGCATACATACTGTGCCTACAAACGACTTTATAACGTAGTATCTGGGTTCTTAATGCATTTTTTTTTTTGGGAGAAGTAAATTGTAGCTGTAACTAGTTTTTTAAAGCAACAAAACTGCTAAAAGGTGTGCTGACAGCTGACTTACTCATGCAGCTAAGAATAATCAACTGACAAACGGGGCAAATGGACTGAACTAAAATTAATTTACGTTGTTATAATTATTGTATTAGGGTTATTAGGTTTTGTCTTTGTTTAGCCAAGTAGCACTTTGGGGATCTCAAAATGACATTGGTGTCCAGACTGGCACTATTTTTCCACTCACAGCAGGGCACCATGTAGTGACCTCCACTGATACAGTAAATTACACCTGAATTATCAAATTGGCTTTTATACTGAGCCTCTTTCTTTGCAGCTTTTAGCAGCAATTTAGCAATATGCTGGGCTGGCTTTTTTTTATGGTGGTGGCTGCGACAGAAATAAGCATGAGTTTTAATGTTGACCTATCAAGCAATATATCCAGCAAAAAAAAAGAAACAATAGCAGATCTACACTTATGCATGTGGAGAAACACAAGAGAGTGGAAAATGGGTTTAGGAGGCCCATGGGAGGATGCAGAGGCTGGTAATTAGAATAAATAAAAAATCCTCAGCTTTCATTCTCTCCCGAGGCAGTAAATAAGAGTTAAAGTAAACTAAACGTGACCGTGAAATTACATTAGAGCCTTGAGCGTACTAAAAAGCACTAAAAAAGTAAAGATAACACAGTTTTTCTCCTCTTAGAGCACTTCCATCTATGAGTCCACCCTAAAAAAAGCACAGATTATTTACAGTTTTTTTTGGTGCCTCAGATGCAGGAAGTTACCAGATACAGGATGTGAAGTGCTTTGCTTTGAATATGTTTCTGTCTTTGTTTCCCACAGATGCTTTCCCGTTCGGAATGGGACCACAAGAGAGGCTCCCGAGGATCACAGGTTAGCACAATAATTAGATGAATATACTGGACAATACTAGGTGCTGTTACTTAGAAAAGCTTATAAGGATGTGCAAAAAAGCTATAAAATCAACATATCCCTTATAAACATCATCATATTCTTCATCGTTTTACATCTAAACATTTAATAAGCCAACAATTAATCTGAATAAATACATTTGAGTGACAATCAAATAGATTATGAAACACTTTCTCTACATTTTACACGATTTAAGATTTCTTCTGTGTCCATTATAGCTTAAAGTAAAGGTTTTGCATACGTATGAAACAATTACCTTTTAACCCCATTTTTTTATTAAACTTGATGTTTTTTTTTCTTTTAAAGTTCTGTTTTGAAAAGTCCTCTTTGCTTTCAGCAATATTGGACTGCATTTCTCTCCATAGTTTCCAAGAAAATTGTTGAGAACTTATTACCTTTTAAGCATATGATTTAAATTCCTTAATAAACTGCCATTTTATCATGTTATGTAAAAGCCAACAGTTTTGATTTGGTATTTAAAGTATGGCAGAAAGAAAATATTTTCTAAGATGTTAAGATCTGTGATGCTTGAGACTGAAATATGCTTATTAAAACTGGAAAATATAACAAAAACCTGTAGGACTTGATAATAAACAGACTATTTACTAATAATGAATGACTTTTTATGAATTTATATGGCTTGACTTGATATAACTGACAATAGTGCTGCTAAAAGAGATTCTGGCAAATAAAATTACATTTTTTTTTCCTGTGTAAGCCCTAAATCAATTTAGTTTTTTTTAGGTGAACTGGAATACTTTATCCATAAGGGTGCTACCATTATGTTATTGTGCTGATTTTGAGATTTGTTTATAAACTTAATTAGTTTAGCAGTATTCGTATTTGTTCCAGGTAGGCCTACATCTCTATATAGCTTGATATATTTGAATAATGGTGCGTTCAAATCACCTCAGAACTTGGAACTTCTCAGATTATCTTTCGTTTTTAAATGGCCACTACAGGAAGTTTTGCAACTATAGCAGAAGCTACGTATAGAATTTATAATTGGATTGTTTTGTATTTGGATTAAAAAACAAAAACTGATCAAATTATACATTTATGGACATAAAAAATTAGAATAAAATTGATTATCTTAAAGGAGAAGTTCACTTTTTAACACTTTAAGCCCATTTTCTGTAGTGTCCAGGATGAAATCGAATGATCGACACCAACATTTTGACAATTGGTCCTGTCTCTGCTTTTTGGCTCATTTAGAATCACCCCCTGGCTGCTTTAGAATGGCTTCCATAGAGCATGTCCGATAATGTCCTTAAAACAACCTTAAACGTTCTTTCTTTAAAATATGCTACTCACCGGGTCGTCAGCGCTGTTCAATGACGTTCCAAAAAAAGTTTCGTGAAGAAAAAACGTTCCTGTAGTGTTTTATTTAGCATTTTGTAAATCCCATTGAGTTCTGTTGGAATAGTCAATATTCCCCTGCCACCGGAAACGGAAATGGGGCCTGTTTACACAGTTGTAGTCTTTTCGCTTCACTCTGTGTACTCCGACGTCGAGGTGCTAACGTCTCTGTTAAACACTTTAAAAAACTCTGAAAATGGAATACGAAAGGTGGATTCTTGATTCTCGACGTCGGAGTACACAGAGTGAAGCGAAAAGACTTGGACCAGGTTGCTGGTCAGAGAAGCAGGCTACTCCTCTCTGTGGCCCAGCAACTCATAGCACCTAAATCACACAGAGCGAAAAAGAGGCTGGGGCACTTGATTGATCTTCTCTGTGTTGTATTTGCCAACAAGCACACATTAGTGGGCTCATTTTCCAAACCACATCTTTTTTCCACCCCTAAAGCCTGTGGTGGATGTTTTAGCTTAGGAACTGACAGTAGCGTTATGTATGGAAAGAGCTTTTCAAATATTTGTATTCGACTCGAAAGTCGTTGGTTTAGGATGGAGCCCAGGGGAATTAGAAAAGAGTGTTTGTAGTGCTGAATGGATTTTCTGACTAGTTGTAAATTAATGAAAGGTTGAAAGAGTGTGAAGCAGACAAATGATGACATTGGTGTCATGCCGTGCCACGCACTTCTGAAGTGGATTTTTGTGCTGCACCAAATAAAGGGCGGTGCGCTCCCTGTTATGCTGGAATCAATTTAAAAGTTGTTTAGAATCCAGACATTTTTTTTATCCTTGCATTTAGGATAAATTACAGCCCTGCAAAAGCAGTGTATGTGGGTAAAACAATTGATTTGTGTTTTTAATATTTTAAAAGATATAGCAAATCTTTAGACTGTTTGGACTTATTTTTTCTACTACATTTGTTTTGTCCTCTGAGGCCTAGAATCGATTAACTAGAGTGGATTATGTTGAGTTTAAGCAACTTATTTCTTGTTAATTCAAACATTAATGTAAAATTGAGAAGATAACTTGTGAGATAACATGTGTTAGATTTTCAGTTAGAAAAGTAAAAACTTTTCATTTAACTTTTGTTGAAGCAAATATACACTGAGGCCTTGATCTGAAAAACGTGTTAGCACCTGCAAAGCTGAACAGCAAAGCAGGTGCTAATGGAGTTGAAATTGTAAAATGACCACAAGAGCATGCATAGTTGTTTGAGTTTGTGCTTTTATAGTTAGGCTGAACAAAATTCTAATGACTAAACCATGCAATAAATGGAAATATTTAACATCTGCAAAGTGATCTATCAAAGCTGAAACTGACGGCTCCACATTTGAAAGTACAGATGCATTGATTTTAATATATGCATTGGTCACACTATTGAAGAAAATTCTAGGTTGGGTTTTAGTGAAAATGCAGCCATCCTCAAAGGCAGATCTATCCAGTCTTTTTCTGTAATATACTTAAGTTAGGCTAAAATTTCTGGTACACCAGTAAAGCATTCTGCCCTCTGTTTAAGTTGTATTTATTTAGTTTATTTGATATTTTCTGTCTTTGGAGTTGTTTTCTGTCAGTTTGATATTTCTTTAGTTACTCTCTGTTGCCCCCTTGTGCCTGTTCCCTCCCCTTAGGCTCCCTCCTAGTCCTATTCACACCTGCTCCATATCAGGTTAATTCAATTCAGTTTATTTCTATGGCACCAATTTACAACACATGTCATCTCAAGGCAAGTCACAGATCACCAGATCATACAGTCAGATTGATTGAAAGTTTTCTATCTAAGGAAAACCAGTTGATTGCATCGACTCACTGACTTGAAGACGATCCATCACACTAAGCATGCTTGTAGCAACAGTGGAGAGGAAAAAACTCCCTTTGAACAGGAAGAAACCTCCAGTAGAACCAGGCTCAGTGTGAGCGGCCATCTGCTGAGGCCGACTGAGGTTCAAGGAGACAGAAGCAGTCATAGAAAAAGAAGCAGAGATACAAAAAGCAACTGTAAAAGGCGGCCCCATCCAGAAAACACACAGCCAGGCAGACGAGCTCCGAGCCAGCTCCCATGTCAGAGGATGAAGAGAGCACATCCAGTTAGTCACAGTCAGAGAAACAGGACTACACTGGAAAACAGGCCGATCTCCAACATCTAGAAACAAAGGTGTCTCCGGGATGGAGTCACAGCCAAACAGGAACAGACCAGATGAAGCTACTATGAGAAAAAGCAGAGAGAGCAGAACGTTAACTTTGAACAGAATCTGCAGAGTGGGAGGATAGCTGATTAGCCCGTCCTTTGTTGTGTTCCCCATATATACACCACCTCTGCAGTTCCGGTTTGCTGGTTTCTTGTTTTGTTTCTTCCTCGTCTCTTGCTCACCACGTGTATTTTCCCTGACATTTATTGGGTTTTGTTTGGTTTTGAGTGTTTTGCATTTTATGGAATTTTGCCTCAGGTACCTATTAGTCCATAAATAAATCAGCAAAACTCATCTCTGCATTTGGCTCCTCAAAGCCTCTGTCCAACCTGAAAGTTATGTTTATTGTGATAATGCCTTCCTTTTCTGGCCTATTGTTAATTTCAATTTGACATTTGTGATACAAATGTGTACATTCTTACATATCTTACTTGCTTTTAAAAAGGATATCAACCTGGAGAGACTCACACAGACATGAAATGTGGCAACTAGAGAGATTTATTGATGAATCTGATAGTTCTTAGGTGCTTGGACCCTGGCAGAAGACATTGAAGCTGCGAATGCAATGGACTTGGAGGATTATTGTGAGATTAGGATTAGATATGTATTCCCCTGGGATCTGGACACTGGTGGTGGAGTGGAGGAGAAAGAAGCCAGAAGGAGCTTGAAATTATGATAGAGGAGATAGAATGGAGGTGGGACAAAGCTCAGTTGAAGCCCTGATGATTGAGAGCTTTAAGTAGAACCTTAGCAGCATAGTTGGCTTAGGAGGAATGAGGAGTTGACTGATTGGCTAGAGCAGAGGCAAATGATGAGGTGATTGATGCAGGTGATGCTTTAAGGAGTTTTTCAGTTTGAATTTGCATCTAAAATTTATTTAATAGCAGTCTCTTAAAAAAACCTGCAGTAATGATAATGGCATTAAAGTTATCAGAAGTAGTATCAGGATCTGCAGTTTCCCAAATTTAAGTATCTGAATCAGTTAAAGGTATACTATACTATACTTGATTTTCCAGCAAGGCTCCCCCCAGAGGGAGAAAGTAAAAGTGCACTGTTGTAAATATGCACAGCTGGTCTCCTGGTTTCTCCGTCAAGCCAGGCGCAGTTGTTTTGAGCTTAGCAGACAGGCGAACGCAACGAATGACTAACACAGTGAAAGTATGAACATGCACACAGAGAGAGAGAAACCATTCCAATGTTACTTACAATCGCATCAGCAGAAACGCGAGGTCCGCGTCAGCCTTGCAGCCTTCTTTTTATTTTAGCTCTCGCCATTCGGAAAAAGCTTGCCCGATGTTCACCCATGTACGACTCCTCTCTCTGTCCGGAGCACTTTTCCTCTTTCTTTCCTGCTCCGACATGGGCTTTCGCTGTTTTCATGCTGGTTCTGCCATGATAACTGCACAAAGATTGCCACTGTGCT